GCGAAAAGAAAATTTTGCCGGTAAGCCGTGTCTCTGTCCTCTGATATAAACACGGTCGTCAGCCAATCAGAGCGCACGTTATATATCAAAAATTTTATAAATATTGATATAAGTTAGGTCATTTTGATAAATCAKTTTGAAATATGGCAGAGGGGGTCAAAATTATTTCAAATTGTTGTATATATACTGGATACGTGTGGACGATGGAATTCGAATTTTTTTCGCATACGATGATAACAGTATCGAAAACAAACAAACATCATTGCAGGCTCAGCTTCAGTTTGAAATTTTTTTTTGAGATATCGACCTATTATAGGCCTAGTGGTTTTTCTGATTTTTGAGATTAGTTTTCGTTCAGAAGTATGTACTTCTGTTTTAAATATATCAATCATTTTTGTGNAAGGATTAAATGAAGACTTTGATTTACCTAAAGGGGTAACTTGGACTTGTAGTCCCGTATTCTTTATCATACTGCAAAAAAATAATAAAACCGATGTGTTTAGACATTCAAAGAATGATAAAACAATGGTAAAGCAAACAATGGGAGAGAAGGAAGAAAAAAATAAATAAATAAAAAGGCTGATAATAAAAAGCTAGCATGAGCAAGCAAAACCAAAATCACTAACGGGGAGGAATAAAAAACAGATTGAGTATTGAGGAAGGACAAGGCAATAGTACTAACAGATAGAAACAAGAGTGGAATTTATTGGCGAGGAAAAATAAAGGCAAGTGAGAATTGGAGAGGAAAAAAAGGCATACCAAGAAAAATGAAATAAGAAAACAGGAAACCCAGTCTTGGGAAAATGGTAGCAGCTATAGGAAATAACGAGAGGAAGGAATGAAAGATAGAGAAGGCAGAAATTAAAAGCGCATGTGAAGATGAGGAAGAACGTAACGTCAAATACGTTTAAACAAAGAAATCACCATAAACTCACCAATGTGATTCTGCCACAAGGGCACCATTAAGTTGAATGTCTTGGTTGTCTTGGTGACCAACTGTTGTTGTTCCTGTTAATCACATTAACAGACATGCGCAATAAACTAAGCAATCATAGCAACTGACTAACAAAGAAGGAACAAGAGCACTATATTCCTCACAAAGCTTAGTTTACACTGTGTTTACAGTCCCTTCGGGGGTCAACCACTTACTAAGGGCCATGGTTAACCGGCATCTCTTTCGTAGTATTTTTAAAAGTACATCGTAATATAGAAAACATACTCTATATTATCCCTTTACTATGCTCCATGAATGGAGATATTGATGCATTCGACCAAACCAGCAGATGGAAAAGGATTGCGAATGAATATCATTTTCCCAATGAAAAATCTAAAACACGACCGCATTGAATTCTGGTTGCCAATGGCCCTTTTTAAAAAGCGGCCATTTTCGAAAGTCCGAGGATGACCAGAAAACTAAGCTAGCACTTCAAAACTAAAGAAAAGATTCCTCTCTTGCCTGGTTTGAGAATGTACAGCAACATTTCAGACAACTGAGGATCTTCGTTGAGGTTGACAAGGTTTGGAAGCTTGTTGTCCACTTTGAAGCTAATGCCGGCTTTCTGTTCGTTAAAGCAACAAAATATACTGTAAGTACGCTGTTTAAGACTAAATTCACGAGTGATCCTTCTTCGCGAAATAGTAAGGATAACAATACGTAGACTTCAATCTTTTCTGACTCTCACGGTCCACTGAACATTACTCCTTATTGGTGAAAAAACGTTTTGAAAAAATTATCATTTTATGGAATACAAACACTAAAACCATGAAAAACTTTTTAGTGCTAAATTGTACTGAATTATTCTATTGTCTTATCTAGAGAGATCGTGCAACTGTACAAAATCAAGTAAAAGAAAAGAAAAAATACAATCAAACAAACAGACTAAAACAACGACGACGACGACAACAACGTTTTTAGCGTTCTCTTAAATAGTCAATACCTTGAGATTTTCTGCCTCCTCAAGTTTCCTTCGTTCAGATAACGCAAACTTTTCTTGCCAGTTCCTGAACATAAAATTCATTATAAAACTCCGCACAATCCCTTTTTACTTTAAGTCCCACGCACATCCAAAAACCTTTGCAATCGCTTCTTGTTTTACAAATGATTTTTTGTTAAATGAAAATTGCTTTCTGATTCGTTAGCGAGGAAGTCGCGCAAAGGTTCCTGGATATACATGGACCTTTAAACTACTGAAGTTAAGGGTGCTTTCCATTTAGGTAGAACTGGCCGGCCAGTCCGCTCTATTTAGAGGTATATAATGCTTTTGAAAATTTGAAATTTCCCAACTAAATTGGAATGATATATAATGACATTTTCTCTGGGTCTGGCCAGCCAGTTCTGACAAATGGAAAGCGCCCTATGTTGAAAGAAAGGCATCATAGTTTGTACCTTGTGGACTCGACCAGGAGTCGTTGCGATTCCATTAGTTTTTCTCGAAGAAGCTGGATTTCTGTCAAGGCATTTCTATTGTCCTCTGGTGAATTGGTAGCATGCATTTGATGGAGGCGATCAATTTCGGCTCTCAGTTCTAATGGAGATGTAAATCTTATTAGCGGTGACTGTGATAGTGATCAAGTGGTTCACAAGAGTGAAGTCGGAGGGCAGAGTTCATGTCGTCGAGTAAGTGAAGACTATGTACTTATTGACTGAGTGGGAGGGCCGTACGGGAAAATATTTAGCTCGAGGTTATGCCGTACGGCCCGACCTAACTCAGTCAATAAGCATTTTATCATTTGACAGCGTTTTTTAATGTAAAAAATAAATAAAAGCGCGCGGAACTTCAAGCGGGAAAATACGGGTTTGTACGGACCTGTCACGAAAAGGCGTACGGACCCCATCACGTGACCATTTTCCAAAGGTTTCAGTGAGAGCGCGCGTAGGGCCGAAATACGGGTCATATGATAAGTGGATGTAAGTCGAGTCATGCTTACACCGAAATAAACAGTTAATGTTTGGTACATGAATAGCTTGTGCCTTGCGAGGCGGCCCTCTTTGGATCCCTGTGGAATAAGGCCGCTTCGCACACTTGTCAGTTTGAGGCACGGCATATTATGCCCCACACGACAAAAATTCAGCACTGGTTCAAACGTCGATTTGCTCATGTGCTGATTCAAATCTTGGGCTACTTAGAAAACCAACATTTATTCTATACAAGGCATTCAATACTCGCCATATGGACTTCCCCCACCCCGTTAATACATACTTGTACTTAAGACTCTTTTAATAAGTCCCGAGGTATTGTTTTCTCCGCACTTGACGTAAAATTTATTCTTTTGAAATTTTTGCAATACAAAAGGAATTCAAAAGAATAATTTTGACGTCAAGTGTGGAGAACACAATACCTCGGGACTTATTAAAAGGATGCATAGATAATCCCCGCTCCTCGCTATTGCCGTCACTTCATTGCAGTCCGTAATAACGAGGGTTGACTGCATATCGTGCTTGTAAACGGTTATAAATACCTCGGATGATTTTCGCGTTTGGATCTTCGTTGATTACAGCTCGGTTCACTATCGTTCGCGCTCTTTGCGCATATTTGAGTAATGTTAAGAACAAAATAACAGAAGTGAAGCACTATAATTTCTTGTTCATTATGATTTAGCTAGACATTCACATACCACCAAACAAGCAAATTTAACAAAATTCCATGAATTTTCAAGTACTTTTAACAGGGTTCGTGCTACCTTTTCATCACAAAATTCCAGGACTTTTTTCAAGGACTATTTTTGAAAACGGTTTTTGATGTTTACGAACGTTTCCAGTGGCGATTTTCAAAAATTGCGACATTTCGACCCAAACGCTAACAAGCCACATTTTATCAGATTCAAGTTGTTTTCCAGGAGTTTTCAGCGCCCTTGAAAACGAGTTATCAATCCCAGGACTTTTCAAGGATTTTAAGGAGTAGCATGAACCCTGTCCGGGTTCGTTCTACATTTTCACTACAAAATTCCAGGACTTTTCAAGTACTTTTTAAGCACAAAAACGCAATTTTCAAGGAGTATTTTTAAAGACGTTTTTTGATTTGCGAATGTTTCCAGTGGCGATTTTCAAAATAGCCATATTTCAATCCAAAAGCTAAAAAGCAAGGTTCAAGGAGTTTTCCAGGAGTGTCTCGATTTTCCCCATTTTCAAGGCCTTTTCAAGTGCCCTGAAAACGAGTTTTCAAAACAAGGACTTTTTAAGGATTTCAAGGAGTTTTACGAACCCTGATTTATAAATGC